AACCTCGAAATTGTAAAAAAAGGAATAATATCGAAAAAGGACTTTTCGGAATAATATCGAAAAAGAAAACATTTCAAATTTGTTAAAAAAGGATTAGTATCGAAAATCCTAAAGGGAGATTCCATGTGAAAACATCCAATTTTTTTTGAAAATGCAACCCTAAGTCTCAGATTTTGCTGATTTTTACACCACTCAAAGATTTTAATAAATTATGAACATTCCCAAAATTTTATCATCTAATTCCAAACGGTTTCAAAGATATGACTATTCAAACTTTGCCTTGAACCAACAAAATTCCGCCATTTTAAAAAATGGTTTTGGTCTTTGTTTCTGTTCTGTATACAATGGAAAGCTGAAAATATGTATGCTAACATATTTTGAGGCAAGGAGTCCAATAAAACAACTGAAAATTTTTAAAAATAAACAGAACACCTGTAATTTTGACCTTTATCGCAATTTTACTGGGGCGAGTTTAATTACAAAAATGCTGATGTAGCTTGATTTTTGTTTTTTTCTTTTTTTTTTAGATTTCATCCTGAATAGTTTAGTTAGAGTTGTTACAAAGAATTGGAAAGTGGTCTTTTCTTAAAATGGAAAAAAAAACACGGTCAAATTTACTTAAATTTGTTACATATAAAACAGGAATTATGAAAAATCAATGGAAAAAAAAGGTTGAACTCTTATGTGCCTTATGCACAGAAGTTGGTATTTAATAATTTTCTGGAAATTTTTCCACTTACCCTGAGCTTATTATGACCCCCTCCCTTCTCCTCCTCCCCACTTTCCCTCTTTTATTAAACTTTTTATTTTTCTTCTCTTCCTCTCTCCCCCACCTTTCTTCGTTTATTAAATGATATTAATATGAACAAAAAAACTGTACCTCAAATCTAAAAAAAAAAATTTCAGGTATTCTTTTTTAAACTTTGAGACTGGTTTAGGTCTTAAAAATTAGACAATATACTTATAGGGAAAAAAGCCTCCACTCACCTTTTTGTTAAGACTATCTTTCTCTCCTCCCCGCCCTTCCGTCTTTCCCATCTCCCCCCATCTATTTAATATAGATAAAAATTCCCATGTATTAAGCATCTGAGAGTAACTTGACAGTTATGAAACTGAAACAGCTTTGACCATATCGTATTGTTCCTTTAATAGTTGCTGACTTGCTTTTTCTGTTTTCTAGGTAATTTTATAAAATTGATCTTTAATTTCAAAAATATATTATTATTTTACTGGGGATGAATTCAATTATGAAAATGCAGATGTAATTATTTTTTTCAAAAGTTGTCTTGAATAATTTAGTAAGAGTTAGATTTTCAAAAGTAAAAAAAATTATCAAATATATAAATTTAATGAGGAAATTAAGAATCATAATCTTAATTATTATTTAAATTATTTAAAAATTATAATCTTTATTATTTTTTAATTATTAAAAAATTTAATAAAATATTTAAAAACATTTTTATTTAATGTTTTTAAATATTTTATTACTATACTAAACAAGTTTTGACTTAACTTTAATGAATAATAAATAATTATTTTTTGATTGACAAGTGACCAACAATTGATTGAGACAATTATTGGTAAATTTTTAATAAATCAATATTTAATAAAGTTGTTTACCATCACCTATTGCCACATTATACGTGCCACAACATGCTTTATATGATGAGCATTTATTATTTTATTTAATTTGGCATTTAATAGTTTATAAAAATGCGTCTAAAAGGTAATTCATTGTCAGAATGTAATAATCAGTAGAATATCATAGCAGATATAACTCTGTTTGTTTACCTGAAAATAATTTAATTTATTTTTATCTACCTGTTTTTTTACCTGAAAATAATTTAAAAAAATAGTTCTCACAACAATAGGTAAGGAACTTCCAATTAGGCAACATAGTGCAATAGTGGCAAGTTTTATTGCTATTTCAGAAGGTGATTTTTATAATTTTGCGCTATAATTTTCAGAATTGTGGAGGAATTTGTAAATAAAGGAAGAGAAATGATAACAAAACATACTGGTCACTTGCAATCATAATTAAGCATAACAATCTTGCTGAACCTTTTCAATCAATTGACAATTTAAGTTTAATATTTTTGTCCAGATGTAATATATGGGGAGTGAAAAGGAAAGGGAAAGGATTTTAATAAACAGGTGGGTGGAAATTTTTATTTTTATTTCTAACGAGGAAAGGAAGGGGGGGGGAGAAGAATAAAAAATTTAATAAAAGAGGGAAAGTGGGGAGGAGGAGAAGGGAGGGGGTCATAATAAGCTCAGGGTAAGTGGAAAAATTTCCAGAAAATTACCAACTTCTGTGCATAAGGCACATAAGAGTTCAACCTTTTTTTTCCTTTGATTTTTCATAATTCCTGTTTTATATGTAACAAATTTAAGTAAATTTGACCGTGTTTTTTTTCCATTTTAAGAAAAGACCACTTTCCAATTCTTTGTAAAAACTCTAACTAAACTATTCAGGATGACATCTAAAAAAAAAAGAAAAAAAAAAAATCGAGCTACATCGGCATTTTTGTAATTAAACTCACCCCAGTAAAATTGCAATAAAGGTCAAAATTACAGGTGCTCTGTTTATTTTTAAAAATTTTAAGTTGTTTTATTGGACTCCTTGCCTCAAAATATGTTAGCATACATATTTTCAGCTTTCTATTGTATACAGAATAGAAACAAAGACCAAAACCATTTTTTAAAATGGCGGATTTTTGTTGGTTCAAGGCAAAGTTTGAATAGTCATATCTTTGGAACCGTTTGGAATTAGATAATAAAATTTCGGGAATGTTCATAACTTATTAAAATTTTTGAGTGGTGTAAAAATCAGCAAAATCTGAGACTTAGGGTTGCATGCCCTGGATGTTTTCACATGGAATCTCCCTAAAAGCAGAATAATCTCGAAACAGCTCAAAAGAGAATAATATTGAAAAAAGACTTACGGAACAATATCGAAAGTGTGAATAAAGGAATAGTATCTAAATTTCAAAAAACGGAATTAGATCGAAATTGTAAAAAAAGGAACAATATCGAAACGGGACTTTCCGGAATTATATCGAAACTGTGAAAAAAAGAATAAATCGAAAAAGGACTTTCCAGAATAATATCGAAAAGGTGAATTTTAATAATAGGTTTGAAAATTCCAAAAGCAGAATAAATAGACGGCAGTTTTTTGCGGTTTTTTGCGGTTTTTAATTAAAGTGTAGTAATTACACTGTATAATTGTATAATATAAACAAAAAGCTCTATTAGTAGAACAAAAAATATTGAATGTTGTGTTGTTGGCTATTTATAAAACGATTCAAAACAAAATGTATTGATTTTATTTAGAGTAGGCACTTCACACGATTTTACTATTACAATTATCTCTTGTTATAATTAATACCATTATATGCGGATAATGAAGAAGCTTTCAGAATGTGTTCATTTTTTAAATTTGGATAACTGGTTCCCAAGTTATGACAATCTATGTTGGGCTCAATAATGCCTATTTGGCGTCAAGATTTGTTGAGTTTTTCTTAAGGAATTATGGCACTAAATTTTGATAATAAATTTATTTTCCATATGCTATCAAGAAGGAATTTCATTGAAGTACTTATGCTGAATTATTTTTATTGTTTTCTTTTTTACTAAACCATTCAAATCTACAAATTATCATTCTCATATTAGGGGAGCCTAGGTAAGAACTCCACTCCTCGTTTACCCATTTGGGGCAATTGGATCAAAAGCTATAAAAGCTTCGTTTAAACCGTAAAAATCAACTTTAAATAAAGAAATAGAGTTTTTTCAAACGGTCAGGGTAAACAAATTTATTAACATTTACAAATAACAAGAAAATATTATGTCTAATTTATTCTACAGAACCTTGATTGTTCTTGGCCCAATCGCCCATTCAGGACAACAAGGTAAAAATGTAAAAATACACAAAGCCCGTTTTCCCATTTTGGGGCAAATTAGCCCAAGAGTAAAAAAAACTCTGTTAAAACTATAAAAATTAACTCAAGTTAAAGAAAAAGACCTTTTTCAAACTTTCAGAGTAAAGATTCATTTACATTTATAAATATCAAGAATATATGTAAAAATCTAAGAAGAAACATTTTTCTCATTTAGGGCCGGGAGCCGTGACGTTAAACTTATAAAAATAAGCAAAAAAAAATTCTGAAAATTTTTCAGTAATAGCTCAAACCCTAAATAAGTAAAATTTGAACTCTATTTTATGAAGTGCAACAACAATTTTATGAAATATCATGCAAATAGTTTTGTCGTTAACATGGAAATGTGAACGAAGAGTCACATTATACTAGAACTTTATCATATTTTAATTTTATGCGTTGCAACGCGTTAAAGCGAAGTATGATAAAACTCACAAATTCATGTTAATGACAAAACTATAAACATAATATTTCACAAAAGTGGTGGTGCACTTCATAAAATACCGTTCAAACTTCACTTGATTTCAAGCTTCTTTATCCGCTTAAATTGTAAATCAAATCCAAGTGAAGCAGTTATATATAATGTTATTTATCATTTGCAACAACAATGTTGTTTTTATCATAAATAACGTGTTTTATCTTAGAAATATTAGTGACATCTTTTGGAAATAATAAAAAAGTTCGCCTTTGTTTAAATGCTTGAAAACATTTGCCCTTTAGTGATTTTTTAATAAAATGATTTTAGGCCCACTGCACAGTGGGCCAGAAACATGAAAAAGTGATCAAAATTAATAACTACATATAAAATCAATTTAACAATATTAACATTATAAAATCAATTTAACAATAATTATATTAACTAAAACATAATATTACAACCATTTAAATTTTCTTCAGGTTACTCACTTTTAAAAAAGATTAAAAATTTTTGAATTGTTAAAGGTTGGTTTTGCTCATTTTTTTAATTTTTGCTCACTGCTGGCCCACTGTGCACTCCTTGAATGTTAACTAAATATTTTATGTAAGCAAATCATAAAATTCCAAAAAGAACTATTAAACACTTACTTTATAAAAAAAAATCGTCCTTACTACAAATTCTGATAGAGGGGGAGGGAAAATGCCTCCTTGACCCCTCCCCCTATGACATAGCCAATGTAGATATACCCCCATGTTGTAGCCCATGTTCAATTATACTTGTTAATATGTTATTCGCAAATTATATTCATAAAAAATTTGTAAGGCGTTTTAGGAAACTCGACTAACTTGAAGAATTATTAGTATATATATATTAGTGAATAAAATATATGAAGTTTATGTAAGCAAAACATAAAATTCCAAAAAGAACTATTAAACACTTACTTTAAAAAAAAAAAAATTTCAAAATATATTAGTGAATAAAATATATGAATTTACTAATCTTCTAACAATTTATTTTATGTATAAAAGGTTATTGATTGTACTTTTTATAAAAAGTACAATCAATAACCTTACATATACAAGCCCATATCGTAAAGATTTTGAGGTTAGGTTGGTCGTTTCGGAGAAAATTGTGGTCAAGAATAGAAAATCTTAATTAATTTTAACGTGAAACTAAGAGCATTTGGTCAAAAAAAAGATGTCAATCGCTCACGATTATCTCCTCTCTTTCCCCACCCCTACCAACAGTAAGGACGTGATAAATTTAATAGAAACTAGCTTTTAATAGAAAATTTATATCAATACCAACTTTTTAAACAAAATGCATATTTATTATAAAGCAAATTAAGGATGAAAAATCCTTTTTTATAGCTGTTTTGTGCTGGTCTGTAAAATCTGGGTCTGTGTTTTATATAATCTATAAGGTGTTATATCTTGGAAAGGAAATATTTTCAGCATATGGTTTTCACATACTTTTTGACAAGCTCTTTCCAATTATATAGTTTTTTGTTTAATTTTTATATATTTTTTTCCTGACTGTAACAAGTTATGATCCCGGCCAAAAAATTTTTAGCACTCGTTTTTTTCTTCTTAGTTTTAACCTAGTTAAACAAGTTAAAAGCTAGCTAGACAAGTTAAAACCTAGTTAAAAAACATTAAAAGGAAAAAGTTTAACAGAATATATATATATATATATATATATATATATATATATATATATATATATATATATATATATATATATATATATATATATATATATATATATATATATATATATATATGTATATATATATATATATATATATATATATATATATATATATATGTATATATATATATATATATATATATATATATATATATATATATATATATATATATATATATATATATATATATATATATATATATATATATATATATATATATATATATAACGGTTGGCTAAAGAGACCGCCAGGTTTTATGTTGTGTCACTCATACAATTTTTTTTTATTTAAAAGTATTAGTAGTTTACTTATAAAAAAAAGGTTTTTTAAAATCCGGGTCAAAAAAGGGCAAGAAAAGAGCAATGCAAAAGTTTCTAGTCTCATATTTTTATAAATGATTATGATAACGAATTTTATTCTGATTAAAATTGTATAGAAACATACACTTGACATTTAATGGAAAGTTCTCTATTTTACATTTGAAACTAAAAATTTATATATTAAAATGACATCTTTTTGAATATGTTTTTTGCAACTTACGTAATTTAACCGAACTTCTTACTACATTTAAAATACCTGGTTTTTATTAACATCAATTTTAATTTAATGACTTATAAATTTATTAGGAGAATTTAAAAGTTAAAATGTTTTTTAAATAATGAAAATAACAGCCGCTTTGTATTTTCTATTTATATTTAAACATAAATTAATAATAATAAATTAAGCAACTTTTTAAGGTAAATTTTTTAATGGGAAAATAAAATCCAGGCTGTATAATTATAAAAGATTTTTTAATTGTTTTCAGTTACACCAATGTTACACTAGTTTTTGCCGATCTAATAACTTTATATAAAAGGAATTTTGCATTAGCTTTTTTTTAAGATTGCAATACAAATTAAAGTTTTCTTAAGATTAAATTTTTAACTCAATGGTGTTATATTAAGTTTGCATTTTTTGGATATAATTCACATTGATTTCAATAAATTTAAATGGCTGGTGTTAGCATGTCAACTACTTCTTTTCAACGAAATGCAACTTGTTGTTGCTGCTGGGAATTTTTTGGAGCAAGGTCTTTGTCTTTATCTCCTGTAAATTCAACAATAGAAGCTTTGATGAAGCTGTATATATATCCCGGTTATTCCCTGGAAATTAGTAATTACCCAACTGTAGTTTGTTCCAATTGTAGAAAAAATCTTTACATGATCAAGTCCGGTAATACACCCAGAGGCTCTTGGGGAGAGAAAGTATCAAAGGTAGAATGTAAAACTAAATTCATTATTTCTGTCAAGTTTTTTTAAGCTCTTAAGTTTTAAGTTTATTGAGATTAATTTCTTTAGATATAGATACCATCTATATAGAAATCAATAGTCTTAAAAAAATACGCTTTAATAATAATTAAAAAACGTTAAAAACCAAAAAAACGTTTTTATTTGTAACCTTTTTATCAAAAAAGATATACCTTTACTATTTATAGTAAATTGTAAATTTTAATGAAGCACTTATATAATTTTGTATTTCACTTTTAAAGGTTGAATGGAAAATGTTAACCAGAAATTCAAATAGAATGCTCCCAATTAGTGAAACCAAACCAGTTAGATCTTTTTCTGCTAATAATTTAAAGCTCTGTGGACAATGCTACTCAATCTTATCAGCAGGACATGCCCACAACTGTTCTTCTTCAACTGCTGTAAAAAACTTGATTTTTCTATCCACAAGTCTAGGGAGCATTCAAGCTGAACAAGTTGCTTCAGGTATAATACAAAATAAAATGAGTGCAGACTGCATTTCAACAGGGACAACATTTTCTTTATCAACTGGGGGAAATCCGTTGGATGTAACTGTTGGATGTCCTTCTAACAAGGTAAATAGAAGATCAGTAAAACAAGTATCCTTACAAGTTATAAAGGAACTTCAAGTCATATTAGAACTTTCTAATAAAAAGACCAAACAATTAATTTCATTCTTCGGAAAGGAAAAGGGAGTAAGACTGTTGTAAAAACTAACATTTTTGGCAAGTCAAATGATCTTTCGGAATCCACATCACATTTTTATCATGAAAAAAAGGTAACTTATATTTTAAATATATTCATATTTATATATTATTTATAGATATCTAGTAATATATTGATCAAAAAATTGCTCTTTAATAATGTTAGATTTTCTAATATAAAATGATATGATAAAAAGAGAAAGATCCTTCATGAATAAAACATCCTTATCCTATAGTAAGATAGAAACTGATCTTATATTAGATCAGACAAAGCTTTTTAGGCTTATTACTTTGAATACTAATCTTCCTAGTTGTTGTAAAGTATTATTTGTTATGGCTAAACATGTTTATTCATTACAAAATGTACTTGTACTACAATGTGTAACCATTAATATATATACCATTAATATATATATATATATACTTGTATATAAACCATTAATATATATACCATTAATATATATATATACTTGTATATAAACCATTAATATATATACTTATACTACAATGTGTAACCATTAATATATATATATACAATATTACTTGTAAAATAATGAAGCTAATTTAAAATTGAATGATATTCAAATTAGATTTTTATCTAGAGAAGAGTCCAGATACTCTAATTCAGCATTTGGTACCACCTCCTAAATTACATCTTTTGATTGGAGTTGTATCTACTTTAGGATGTCTACTTATGAATATTTGGCCTGAATTTGATGACTGGCTGAAAACTAAAAGTGTTTATCAGAGAGGGTATCAAGGTAGAGGTTGGGACGGAAATAATTCTAACAAGATCCTGAAAAACCTGGATGAACTTGATAAAGTAGTAGCATCTCAGGTTCCTCAACTGAGACCTATAATTCAGTGTTTGAAAGACTTTAAAATAGTGAAAGATTCCTGTTTTGGTTAAATTCTTTTGACAGAGTATAAAATGGCATTTACTGTGTTTAAAAATTCTTTCTTTTCTACCCAAGAGCTTGCACAGGCTCTTGAGAAAAAATGTTCTTTAAGCTGGAAGTTTCACATCTTGCTGTGTCATGTTCAACCCTTAGTCGAACACCATAACTGTGGTCTAGCTAAGTTTGCTGAACAGTGTGGAGAGGCTATTCATTCTAAATTTAAACATACCTGGAGTAGATATAAACGTCAGAAGACCATGCTCAACATGGAGAACAACTGTTATCCTCTGTAATAAATTTCAATGAAAGAAGACTTTAATTTATCTTTAACTTTGAAATGTTGCTTTATCTTTAACTTTGAAATGTATATTTGGATTGTGTAACAAATATAAATTAATATTGTAAATATTAATATTAATTCAAGTCTTTATTTGTAACAGGCATCTAAAATGTTTAAATGGACTTAGGGCCCCATCAATTTTACCTTTTTGCTTTATTTGTGAATCTTAGTTCTTTGTTTTAATTTTAAAACACTTATTTCATTTTGTATAAGACAAATATCATAAATTAACAATTTTTTTTTTAAATGGGCGTCTAAAATGCTTCAATGGGGGTAGCGCCCCTCAATTTTATTTTTTTGTGTCCTTTGTGATCCTCAGGACTTTGTTCCAACTTTTATAGTTTAAAAACTTTATATTCTATTTTTATAAGACACATATTCTTAATTAATTTATATATTTTTTGTAATGGGCGTCTAAAATGGTCAAATGGGCATCAGACCCCTCAATTTATCTTTTTGCATCATTTGTGACCCTTAGCACTTTTTTTCGGATTTTAAAAACGCTAGATTCTATTTTTATAAAACAAATACTCTTATATAAAAAAAGTTTCGTTCAAGTGACTCGACAAAAAACCTGGCGGTCTCTTTGGCCAACCGTGATAGATATATATATATATATATATATATATATATATATATATATATATATATATATATATATATATATATATTATATATATATATATATATATATATATATATATATATAATCTTTGAATGTCATTTTCTTGTTATACGTTAAAATATTGTTAGAATTCAATAAATACGTAAAAGTTCCAGATAATAACAACCGCATATTTAAATTATTCCAAAGTCCATGGAGTTCATGATTTTTGAGCTTGGAGTCCGGAGTCCTGGAGTCC